GCGTATGAACTCACAGTTGTTGCGTAGAGTGGTTGACTAAAAAGAAGATTACCGAGTTGTTGCACGTGACACTTAACGAAATCCTATTATCAAATAAATACGTATATGCATCTAAATTAGCGATTTCGATAAATAAAGTGTCGGAAAAACACTTGAATTTGGTTGAGGAATGTTACCGAGGCTTGCGTGAATCGAAGAAATGAGTTTTCACCCAAAAGTACCACCAAAAAGGGTGTTTACGGCCGTAATCAGGAGTTTACGGTCGTGAACACGAGTTTACGGCTTTTGAATACGAGTTTACGGTTTCTGAAGATTGCCGAGTTTACGGCCGTAAACTCAAGAACAGAGTTTACGGTCTTTGAAGATTGGGCCGTAAACTTGGAAAATGGTGTTTGGATGCTGATTTCGACGGGATGAGTGATTCCATACGTTCCAAAGGGCTCCAAACGGTGTTTTCGACGTTTCCCGGAGTTTAAATGCGTTTTTGAGAGTTTACGATTGGAGTTTCTTAGAGAGAGGAGGAGAGAATGTGGCCAGAAACGTCCTAATGAAGTCGGAGGCATCGTATTTATAGGATGAAAGTGGGGTCCATTCGTCACTGACCGTAAACGGAGTTTACGGTCGTAAACCAGTTTACGGTCGTAAACTAGTTTACGGTCGTAATCCCATTTTAGACCAAAAATGTTGTTTTCTCAAGATTTTCGGGTTTCCGCGCAATTTTTGGTTCCAACTTGCAAAATAATTTAATTAAGTATAACTAGATTATTTTATTAAACCAAAACTTTGACGGAAAGGTTAACGGATCTGAAATTTCATTAACGAAAATGCGTAACAGAAACGGAAAAAGTTTCGGGTTGTCACGATATGCTTCGCAAGCTAAACAAGTGTTCTACATCCGCGAGCCTGTTAATCATCCAAGAAACCAAAACAACAACCCTCTTTGTGTCGTCGAGCATGTTAATCATTGAAATATTTGGGATCTACCATCCGACAATGCTCGTGTCCAAAATGCTTTCAGTGACTCTATCCAAGATGTTGACAATGTGGAAGCCGAAAATGTTGACATAGTTCAAAACAACTCTTTATCTGGAGTTAGACTTTTTATCAACTTCTCACAATACTTTCAAAACAATGTTGATGTAGCTCAAAACAATGTTGATTATGACGATGAAGACGAGACAGAAGTACCTCCGCCAATGGGTAGAATCGATAATGTTTCCGATGAAGAGACTGATTATGATGATGACGATTCTGATTATGATACTGATGAAGAAGACATTTAAGTATATTGTAGCACCGGATTCCTGGTATGTATTTTATTTAAGAATTGTATGTATTTTCTCTAGGACTCGATGAGTTGATGGCCCAACTCGTCGAGTAAAGACGGGATCCGCGGGAAGTTTAAGTGACCTACTCGACGAGTCGGAGACTGACTCGGCGAGTAGGCGCTGTTTGGAAAAATCCTTAAATCTGAGGGATGACACCCTATTTAAACGTCTTAATGCAGCCTCCGTCGTCCCTTATGCTCCCAGAACACCTCATACTGAAACCCTAATCGTTTTGTGAGATCTAAGGCCCTTTTTGGTGATTTTTGGTGGTTTGTAATCACAAGAAAGAAGGAAAAGCTTGAGGAGCCAAGCGGAAACCAGAAGATTTCGAGTTTGTGCAGCATCTTCAGTTCCTTAGAGGTAAAAAGCTGATACCTTGCTCTTTCATGTTCTAGATCCCTTTTTGGAGTGAATTAGGGCCTTTAGGAACCATTTTTGGTGACAATCATGAGTGCAAGCATGGTTAGGGGCTAGGACTCCAGATCCAAGGTCCTTAAGGGACTACATGGCGTAAAGTGGCCAATTTTGTAGTCATAGAGAGCCCCATACACCTTTAGACCTCATTTTAGGTCCATTAAGCTTATACTCCCATGCATACACGTAAAGTTCGTAACTTTACGTGCTAGACCGATCTTAGAAGCCCAGATCTATCTTTTGGATGAGTGTTGTACATCAGAAATCGAGAAAATAAGACTTGGACAACATCGACTCGACGAGTGTTCTTGGAACTCGGCGAGTCCGAGGCTTGTGTCCCCATTCTGTTATGGGTCCAAAGGAACCCAGTTGAGTGTTAGCAGAAGATTAGAAAAGTCCCAAGGAGTGTTGTGACATTTTAAGAAAGAGCCATGATCTGGAAATCATAGGACTCGGCGAGTATATGCACAGACTCGTCGAGTCCAAGGCAATCTCCCAACTTTTGAAGATGAACTCGACGAGTTGTTCATACAACTCGGCGAGTCACATACTGGACATGTTCATAGGATGAAGGTGAACTCGACGAGTTGTTCATACAACTTGGCGAGTCGGATGAAGGTTCATTCAATGGTATTATAGAAGGAGAACTCGTCGAGTCGTTGCTAAGCTCGACGAGTAGAGTCGGGAAGGGGTCAAAAGATAGGAAAGGGACTCGACGAGTTGGCGGCCCAAATCGGCGAGTCAGGTCAACTGGAAGTTGACTTTGACCAAGGCTTTGATTTTAACCAGGGGTAAATTAGTCACTTTACCCAAAGATTAGTTAGTAGTGTTTGACTAAGTGTCTTTATGGGAATTGTAGCCGGCGAGTTGCCGGAGCAGCAGTCAGACATTTCCCGATCAGCATTTCAGTAGTCAGCTTTACGAGGTGAGTTACCTTCCAGTAGCGGTGGGTCTACGGCCAAAATGTCGGCCCACTAGTAGGAGTTGAATGTTGGATGATTGTCTTTGTGATATCATCTAGGTTGCTATTACCTGATATGTTATATGCTGGCATGATATGTTATAAGTGATAGTAGTAGAGTTTGGTTGTTAGGACCGAATAGTAGGTCAGGCACACCAGATATGCCTGACACTATGTGATGATATGTTTATATGCTGGCATGATATGATATATGTGATAGCAGTAGTAGGAGGGGAATAGTCCCCAAGTTCGGTTGTTAGGACGGAAGGGTAAGTCAGGCACCCCAGATATGTCTGACAGTAGGTTATGCTAGGATATATGAGATAGTAGTAGTAGGGGGTGGAATAGTCCCAGAGGTTCGGTTGTTAGGACCAAAGGGTAGGTCAGCACCCCAGAATGGCTCGACACGGGTAGGTTAGCACCCCAGAATGGCTTGACACGGGTAGGTCGGCACCCCAAAATGGTCGTACCGGGTAGGTCGGGCACCCCAGAATTGCCGGCAGTATGTATGCTATGTGATTATATGGTATGTGGTACGATGAGGGAACTCACTAAGCTTCGTGCTTACAGTTTTCAGTTTTGTTTCGGGTACCTCTTCAGCGAAGGGGAAGGAGCCGGCTCGGTAGCTGCACATCATACACACATCGGATTCTGCATTATGAGATTTCTTGGGATTGTACTCTGACATTGTTCAAAATCAAGGCGATCGACCTATTTATTCTCCACTAAATTTACACTTTGGTGGAGTTACTACCCATTTCACGGTCAGGCACAATAGCAAATCCAACTTCAATTCTAAAATCAATCACAATTTTAAAGGCAACTCCAATTTCAAAACCAACCACAAATGAATTTCTCATCCCAAATGGACAATAACTTCAATCCATTTGATGATATTCCTGACTCGCCAATGAATTTCGAAACCCAAACCCAATTTCCAAGTCAAGAGGAACCCGCAGTCGTCCCCGAAACGGAATCGGAGCTGGAAGATAATCGTTCACAACCAAAAAAAGTGGAAGGGCGGTTCCAAAGCAATGGGCACCGACCGAAGAAAAGGCGTTAGCTCATGCTTGGGTGGATGTTTCCGAAGATCTGTTGAGCGGAAACAACCAAGATTGTCCAACTTTCTTCCAGAAAATCACGCGGCATTTTTCTCAACGAGATAAATCTTGGTGATTACCGGAAAAAAGACCAAGTTTGTTCGAAGTGGCGAAATGTCAACAAAGTGGTGACGGAGTTTAACGGTGTGTTTTCGAGAGTGAAATGACAATGACAAAGTGGTCCAAACGACGAAACCATTTTGCCGAAGGCTCTTGAAATGTATCGGAATCAAAAAGGGCGTCATTCAAAAATTACATGTTTGGAACATTGTGAAATTGTCAAAAAAAAATGGCAAGATGTCGGCTCTTCCGAAACTTATATGGGTGGTTTTTCAAAAAGAACCAAAACATCTGAAATGACACATAGTCAATCGTCTGATGCGCATGTCGGGATTGACCTCAATGAAGAGGAGCCTATTGAGGTTCCAAGAGTCACTCGTCCCATGGGAAGAGACCAAGCCAAGCGAAAGGGGAAAGTGGCGGCAACTAGTTCCGACGATATCCATCAACTAATAACAAAAATGGATAATTTGAAGTCGTCGTTGGAGCGATAACTGGAACTTGGACAAGAGAGAAAAAAACTTGTGTCATGTCTATCTTAATGAGACCCACAAACGAGCTATCCGGACGCCAACGGGAAATGGCGATAAAAGCCAAAGAGGAGCTTGCAAAAAAAATATAACATCTAGCTTTTCGTTTTTTTAATTTTCATGGTTTCGTTTTTTTACATTTCTAGGTTTGTAATTTAAATTTCTATGTTTTTTTTTGTGTGTTGTATTTTTATTTTATGTTTAATGAAATTTAAGTATTTAATAAAATATGTTTGGAATATTTTTATTTTCTATATTAATTAAAAAAAACTAGCATTACAAGTGTGGCAACCGGTATCATTCAAATGACAAGTTTTGGCTAAATATGACAACTATGATGTGTCATCTACATAAACCATGACAAATGTGTCACCACATTCACATTCGGTAGTCTCATTGTTATCAATATATTAGTACTATAATTTTTAAATATATTAAATAATGTTAATATAATATAAAAATAATAAAATTTAGTAAAAACAGGGGGTATATGAATAGCCTCTGCCTGTGAGTAAATTATGAGTATCGCCTACATAGACCTTGGAACAGCATCGCCGCTTGGAAGCAAACAATTAATTTATTTTAAATTTTGGTTGCAATGGAGAAAATGGGAGACGATGCACCGCCCATCGGCATTGATCTCGGAACAACCTATTCATGTGTCGCCGTTTGGAAGCACGATCGCATCGAAATTCTTCCCAATAATCAAGGTAATCGAACGACACCGTCTTGTGTTGCTTTCGTTGATGCAGCACGTCTCATTGGCGATGGCGCCAAGAACCACGCAGCCATAAACCCTGCTAACACCATATTTGGTAAGCTTCTCTTTCTTTTTCTAGGGTTTATTGAGTGTTGTTATATTACTACGATTAAGAGCAAGGAAAAAGATACATATCTTAAGAAACATATGAATCGTCAACACCGGAGTCTGATACATTTAAGTCCACTGAACTCTGAAGTCTTTGATCCTATTTATAAACTAATCTTTAAAAGCAACGCCACCCGATAGTTCGATTTTAAAGTTCTAGGGTTTTTTGGTTCAATGTCACTGGAAGAGTTTGAACTTTGAAGAAGAACCGTTACTGATATAGCTAATTTTTTACAATTTTGCTATTGGCTTAATTAATTAAAGGGAAAATGACGTGCAGCCCCTATAATGTTTCTAGGGTTGACCCATTTAGGCACTTAACTTATTTTGTGGCTTAATAAGGGATCGAATTATTTGTTACCTAACAATATAGTCCCTTTTACCTATTATAGCCGGTTAACGTTGCCACATAAACCTAGACTAACACGTAAGCGATGACATGGCAAGAAGTTAAATCGTCCAACAACCGCAACGACGTCGTATTGAAGGCGAATCATAAGGAACAAGGATCGACAGTTCTAGCGCCTCCATATAAAATGAAGAGTTCCTTGACCTAAAAGGGCACATCTTCAAACTTCATTACCCCAATCTCGTCTCTAAGTTTACTCCACAATGGCTTCGAGCGGACGTGTAGAACACAGCTGGTCTCCAAATTACCGCCGTCACATGGATGAGAATCAATCGAATGGTGTAACCAACGAAGACATGGCCATCAATCTATTGCAAACCCAGATGGAACTGTCTCTTATACGGGAGGACTTCCAAGACCAGTTGTGTGAGCTCCGTCAGGCAGTTAATCGACACTTAGATGCCCTGAACCTTGAGGTCGATGACGTTCGCGCTGGTCAGATGGATATCTCAAATATGGTTGCTGATCTTAAAAATCATTTCGTTTCTCTGCAAGGAGCATATGTGAAGAAGGTCTTCAAGGACAACAAACGTAAGAAGCTGATGTCTTGTGTTGGGATTTTTGGTGTTGTTTGTGCGTCTGTGGCGACGTATTTGGTGTTTAAGTAAAAAAATCTTGTGTAGGTTGAAGCATTTCACTCCTGGGTTTGTGTTTTGGTGTGTTGCCTATGTTGTTTAGTGTCAATATTAGTAGTAGCTTTTGTGTGGGTTGATGGTATTAGTTTGTGATGTTGGTCTGTAGTTTTGATGGTGGTGTTGCTGGGCTGCTGATTGTCATCGTTTTTTGATGATGTTTTTTGTCGATGATGATCTCTGTAATAGGTTATTGAATAGCAGAAAGCGATGTAAACAAACCCATGGGTGAAATGTGTTTTAATATGTTATTATTAAAAAAAATTGTCTTTCACCTGTATCTGTATGTGTGCATGAAAGAAAGAAACATTTGGGTATTATATATGTTTCATCGACTGGGACGGGACCACAAGACAAAGCAAAACGAATTTAGTTTCTTTATGCGCATAGACAGGGACCACAAATGGTGCAGTTAGGGAAAAGGGACAAAAAATACCTTTGCACACGATGAACCATATCTGCTTGTCTGCAATCATTTTTTGGAAAAAAAAGGAATAAAGTTTTCTAAAGATGGCCTTTTCATGTTGAATGGATTAAGTCACAAGTCCCCTGTTTTTTACAATGACTTAATTACCCTTGCATGAAAAATGGTCAATTTACTTTGTAATGACTTAATTACCACTACATCCAAAATGGCCAATTTACTTTCTAATGACTAAAATGCCCCCCCAACCAAAATGGTCAATTTAATTTCTAATGACTAAAATACCCTCCAACCAAAATGGTCAATTTAATTTCTAATGACTAAAATGCCCCCAAACCAAAATGGTCAATTTAAATAGTAATAACTCAAATACCCCCACATCATAAATGGTAAATTTAGTTTGTTTTGGCTAAAATGCCCATAATACCCCTAAATATTTGTAGTACACCATAAAAGAACATACACAGATCATTTGTTTACTACAACACACATTCACTACAAATAACAAACAATTACTTAATCCAAGTCCATGGCAGTTGCAACACTGCTACCTTCACCTCCCACATTTTTTGCAAGCTTCAGTTTAATGATTCATTCTGACTTCTTTTGCATTTTAGGTGGTTTAACATGCTTAACTCGAGCAGTGACATTCACCCCTTCATCCCGTCCATTGACTCCCACCATTCGCTCTTCATCTCCAGGCCTATCCAAACCATCAGTAGCATCTACGATTACCTCATCATCCCCTACTCCTGTGGCAACGTTTACAGACTCCTATGTAGGTATAGTTTTTTGTTTCTTTGTTCCATTTTGTTTGGATGTTCCTACACCTTTACTACAAGTAGCCTTGTTGTGTCCTTTCTCCTTGCATATGCTGCAAGAAACTTTCTTCCCTGCCTTGCAGACGGTATGTTTTCCCATCCGTTCAGAAGCATCTCTTCTTCTCTTTATGGATGGCCTTCCTGGCATACGTCTTTTCAATGGAGGCAAAGGGGGTATCAAGTCAGTAGAAGGCCACATATTTTGTCCATTCATCCCATGGATTGACTGTTTGTAAGTATTATGGTATAATGCAGCCAAGAACATTGGATCTACATATGGACCATCAGGTGTCAAATTTAAGTAGCCTAAGGTGGCAACTGAGTGTACGCAGCCATATCCATTAAGTTGCCATAGCCTGCAGCTGCATTCCTTTTTTTTCAACATCCACAGTAAACACCTCGTCCATTTTCCTTGCCTCAAACTTCATCCCCCCACATGAAATGACATGCCAATGCCTACATATATAGATGAAAACCGCAAATATCATGAGATGTGAAGAGTAAAGTAGTAATGTAATTGGATAAATGCACAAACCTTTGCTCAGTTTGGAGCATATTCAACCGTATTCTGATATTTGGATAAACAGAATAAATGCACAAACCTTTACTACAAGCCTTCCCGAGAAGCTCAAAGGCGTTTGAACCCTCCAATGATGGAGGTAGTAAAGAAAGAAATTTTAAAGTTGTTGAATGTGGGGATGATCTATCCTATATCGGATAGCAAGTGGGTAAGTCCGGTCCAAGTTGTATCCAAGAAGACAGGTATTATTGTTAAAAAGAATGACCAAGGTGAGTTAGTCTCCACCCGTATGCAAAACGGGTGGCGAGTTTGCATTGATTATAGAAAACTTAATTCCTTAACCCGGAAAGACCATTTCCCACTTCCCTTCATTGATCAAATGTTGGAAAGGCTAGCGGGAAAAACACATTATTGTTGCTTAGATGGGTATTCCGGTTTTCATCAAATACTTGTTGCACCCGAGGACCAAGAAAAAACTACCTTTACATGTCCCTTCGGAACATTTGCATATAGGCGAATGCCTTTTGGACTTTGCAATGCTCCAGCCACTTTTCAGAGGTGCATGGTAAGTATTTTTTCGGAGTATGTTGAGGAAATCATTGAAGTTTTTATGGACGACTTCACAGTTTATGGTAATTCTTTTCAGGAGTGTTTGGGTAGTTTGAAAAAGATTTTGCAAAGATGTATTGAGACCAATCTTGTTTTGAATTATGAAAAGTGTCATTTTATGGTTAACAAAGGTCTCATTCTAGGTCACATTGTGTCTTCTAAGGGTCTAGAAGTAGACAAAGCAAAAATAGATGTCATAAAGTCTTTACCTTATCCCACCTGTGTTCGTGAGGTACGCTCATTTCTTGGTCATGCAGGATTCTATAGAAGATTTATCAAAGATTTCTCCAAGATATCGCGTCCCACGTGTGAACTCCTACAAAAAGATGCAGAATTCAAATTTTCAAAAGAATGCAAGCAAGCTTTTGATCAGTTGAAAGAGTTGTTGATAACAGCACCAATACTTCAATCACCGGATTGGATTATGCCTTTTGAAATCATGTGCGATGCCAGTAATCATGCAGTTGGTGCAGTGTTAGGGCAAAGAAAAGATAGAGTTCCTAATGTCATTTACTATGCCTCAAAAATACTTGACAATGCACAAACCAACTATTCAACAACTGAGAAAGAATTACTGTCTATTGTTGTTGCTTTGGATAAATTTCGTCAATATCTGCTGGGTACTAAAGTCATTGTTTATTCTGATCATGCAGCTATCAGGTATCTACTTGCAAAGAAGGATTCAAAACCTAGACTCATTCGATGGGTGCTACTCTTACAGGAGTTTGACATTGAAATCAAAGACAAGAGTGGAAAGTCAAACCTTGTAGCTGATCATCTTAGCAGGATTGTTTCTCCTTATGACCCGACTCCCATTCATGATGCATTTCCCGATGAGAACCTATTTTCAGCAAAAGTTGTCCCATGGTATGCCGATATTGTGAACTACATTGTCACAAATCAATTTCCATCAGATATGACTCGATGGCAAAAAGACAAGATCAAGAAAAAAGCCAAGAGGTATGTATGGGATGAGCCATACTTGTGGAAATATGGTGCTGACCAAATGATCAGACGATGTGTGGATCAACAAGAGGTATCTTCTATCTTAGCATTTTGTCACTCATATGCTTGTGGAGGGCATTTTGGTCCTCAACGAACTGCGAGAAAAGTGTTAGAGAGTGGATTTTACTGGCCAAGTGTTTTCCACGACTCTTATGTCTATTGTGCAAGCTGTGATAAATGCCAAAAAATAGGCTCTTTAAGCTCAAAGAATCAAATGCCCCTCAATCCCATATTAGTTTGTGAAATTTTCGATGTATGGGGCATTGATTTTATGGGACCTTTTCCATCATCTTCAGGTTTTATTTACATTCTTTTGGCTGTAGATTATGTTTCCAAGTGGGTGGAAGCAAAAGCTACCCGTACTAACGATTCAAAAGTTGTGATAGATTTCTTGAAGGCTAACATTTTTTCCAGATTTGGTGTTCCAAAGGCCTTAATCAGTGATCGTGGTACACATTTTTGCAATCGTATGCTCGTGAGTGTTTTGAAGAAATATGGTGTCACTCATAAAGTTTCCACAGCATACCACCCACAAACAAATGGACAAGCCGAGGTAAGCAATCGACAAATCAAGGGCATTTTGGAGAAAACCGTGAATACAACAAGGAAATATTGGAGTACACGCCTTGATGATGCTTTGTGGGCATACCGCACTGCATACAAAACTCCAATTGGAATGTCTCCATACCGCATTGTTTTTGGAAAGTCGTGTCGATTACCC